TAGCCGGTGAGCCTGCCCTTCCCACCAGGCTGTTACCAGGCCAGACTCAGAGAACCATATTCCCTACTCGTCACCACCTGCTGCAACCGGGGGGGTGGGGACATGGCCTGAAATACATCCTGGTTTTTGGGGTTTTGTTCTTTTAGTGAGATTTTTGCTATAGGGCGTGTGTGCTTACTGGAGACACAGAGACAGACAGAGAGACAGAATGTAAGAAGCCACTCCCCAGGGGGATGGCCACACCACAATCCCTTCTCCGCCAATCTCCTCTCAGGATTTTGGGTATGCACACACATGTGCCCAGCATGAGTTTCAAGCTGCTCTGTCCAGGACTCAAACCATGGTCGGCCATGTGGGAGTCCAGAGCCTTCCCCACTACACCTCCTGGCACCACCGAAATATATTCTGAACAAGGGAAAACAGAATAATGAGGAGTTCTTCCCCAAACCTGGTAACTTTTACTGAGCATGGACTAGGAACCCAGTGGGTCACAGGCATTTTCTCATACAGTTCTTAAAAGGACCCTCCAGGGCCAGGAGTGAGGTGGTGGTTGAGGTGCTGGACTCCCACATGGCTAGTTTGAATCCTGGACCTGGTAGCTTGCTTTCTCATTTTCTCTCCCTCTCTCCCTCTCTTCCTCTCTCTCTCTCTCTCTCTTTCTGGTGAGCCCATGTGCCCTATAGCAAATTTTAAAATAATAAGGGGCCAGGAGATGGCATGGTGGTTAAGGTGCTGGCCTCCTACATGCTCAACCGTGGACTCGGAGGCTTGAAATTCATGTAGGGTGCATGTGCATGCATCCCTAAAATCCTGAGAGGAGAATGGAGGAGAAGGGATTGCAGTGTGGCCATCCCACCTAGAAGGTGATTTCTCATTTTCTCTCTCTCTCTCTCTCTCTGTCTCTTTGTGTCTCTGGTGAGCACACACACCTTATAACAAAAATGTCTCTAATAATAATTTTAAAAATTAAATAATTTAAAAAAATAAAAATAAAAAGGACCCTACAACGTAGAGGCTCTATGTACTTATCCCATTCTACAGGTGGGCATATTGAGGCTCCCTGGAATTAAATCACTTGCCCAAAGCATCGACCCCAGGTCTGACTCCAATACCTGCTATGGGAACTGTTCGGCTTCACTCCTCACCTGCCCTGAGGACGTTTCCAGGCGGCCAGGTAAATGATCGTGGTTACTCCCCCACCTGGTACGCAGTTAGGGCAGCCCTCTGGCTCCCCAATACAACTCCTTTCACGGCCACAAGGCCCCCCTGGCTCTGAGGCTGAGAGTTCTAATCCAACGTGTCACTCCTGACTGGCCACCCTTTTCCTCCTTTCTAGCTGTGAAGTCCTCACCCAGGAAGGAGACTGCTCAAGAAGTCTTCATTGGGACCAGCAGTTAACGTAATGGCTATGTCGCTGAACTCCCGTGTGGTCGACCGCAGTTCAAGTCCCAGACCCGGTGGCTTAAACTCACGCTGGGCGCATGTGCGTGCGTGCCCAAGATCCTGAGAGGAAAATGGAGGAGAAGGGATTGCAGCGTGGCCATCCCCCCCTGGGGGGTGATTTCTCACTTTCTGTCTCTGTCTTTCTCTGTTCCTCTGGTGAGCGCACATGCCTTAGAGCAAAAGTCTCTTTAAAAAACTGTGGTATTTCTTGTCAACTTTTCACTGACCACGTGATTATATCAAAATCCAGTTCAAAATGTAGATACTTAATGGGACCAGCAGGTGGTGTGGTGGTTAAGGTGCTGGACACTCCCACATGGCCAACCATGGTTCGAGTCCTGGACCTTGCTTTCTCACATTCTCTCTCTTTCTCTTTCTCTCTCTTTCTCTATATGTGTCTCCCTCTGGTCTAATTAAAAACAAATAAATAAAATAAAAACGAATACATAAAAAAAATTAAATAAATAATTCCTTAAAGAAAAAGGTAGATACTGGGAACCAGCAGTTAGCGTAATGGCTATGTCGCTGGACGCCCACGTAGTCGACCGCGGTTCGTGTCCCGGACCCGGTGGCTTAAAACTCACGCCGGGCGCGTGTGCGTGCGTGCCCAAGATCCCGAGAGGAGAATGGAGGAGAAGGGATTGCGGCGTGACCATCCCCCCTGGGGGGTGATTTCTCGCTTTCTGTCTCTATGTCTCTCTCTGTCTGTCTGGCGAGCGCACGCGCCCTACAGTGAAAATCTCTCAAAAAAAAAAAAAAAAGAAAAAAAGAAAAAGGTAGATACTTAACACAATGGCAGAATTAAATAAATAAAGATGTAAAACCTTGACTTCATTTTAGCCACAAAAAGCACCTTATAATCCCTGATTATAAAGGAAACCAATTATGAATACAGGAACCCAAAGCAGTCAGGTATACGTGTGTGCTCCTAAAGACACCGCCATATTTGTTTTTTAAAGCGTGCAAAATTAGTTCCATCAGTTTGCTATCGAAAAACAATGTTCATGGCATAGATTTCTAAATGCAATATTCAGACCATAATGCCAAGCCAGCAGGTGGCATGGTAGTTAAGGCATTAGACTCCCACATGGCCAACCACAATTCAAGTCCCGACCCAGCTGCCTGAAAATCAAACCAGGTGTGTGCGTGTGGGTGTGCCCAAAATCCAGAGAGGAGGATGGAATAGACAGCAGCAGGACCATCCACCCTCGTGGGGTGATTTCTCACTTCCCTTTCTCTGTCTCTCCCTATCTCACTCCAGCAAGCACACATTCTCTATGGCAAAAAAAAACTAAAAAACAGTATAAAAGAAACAAACAAAAAAACCCACAACAATGGCACCAGCCCCATAGCCTAGTGGTTAAAGTAGCCCTTACCTATAAGGCTGACCACGGTTTGAATCCTAGCCCTAGTTACTTGAAAAACATGCTGGGTGCATATGCATGTGTGCCCCAAATCCTGATGGGATGGCAAAAGGGAGGGGAAAGGACTCAGGCCTGATGGAGACCCATTGAAGAGTGCTTCCTCCCTCCCTCTCCCCTCGCTCTCAGTCTCTCTGGCAATTAAACACTCAGGTGCACCAGCAGATGGCGAAGCGGCTACATTGCTGGACTCCCACTTGGCTGACTGCGGTTCCAGGCCCAGACCCGGTGGCTTACAAATCATGCTGAGCGCGTGTGCATGTGTGCCCAAGATCCTGGGTGGGGAATTGGGGAGAAAGGATTGAGGAGTGGCCATCCGCCCTGGGAGGGTGATTTCTCACTTTCCCTCTCATTGTCTCTCTCTGTCTCTGTCTCTCTCCCCAGCAAGACACTCACCTGAAGGCAAACACTTTTTGAAAAAAAACAAAACAAAACGAAACAAAGAGAAAAAAAAACCCTCTGGCGATTAAAAACAAAAACTACAAAGCTGTGGCCTCTCCCTTTCTCTTTCTGAGGTCTCTTGCCTTTGTTGGAATGCGTGCGTCTGTTTATCTGACTCCCTTTTCGGTGTCCCACTGAAGGGGGGAGGGGGAGGAAAGAAAAAAGAAAACTTCTTGGTCAAAGAGATCAAGATGTATTTCTAATTCTCTTGCCATCTGGTATGTTCTCTTGGAAGCATATCAAGAGGCAGAGAGACTTGTCTGACAGAATTGGCCCTGATCGTACGATCCTTTCAAATCAGACCAAATTCCCAGTATGGACATTTGTGACAGCCCGTTCTATCCGTCATATCAGCAACTGTGACCACAGGATATGTAAAAATGCCGAGCAATTTTTAGCACCAGCTTCCAATCCCCCAGTGCCCTGGACACCACATGGTGTCAAGTTCGTCTCTATTTCACCCCCAGGAAATCAAGTCATTAACTTTTCTTTCATTTCAAGAGCTGTTGCCAAACAAGAAAAAAAAAAAAAAAAAAAACAAAGAAAGAAAGAAAGAAAGCATTCATGGGGCTGAGATTTAGGAAGAAAAAGAGAAAAGGCTTCCCTTAAAGGAGAGGAAAAGGAAAAAGAGAAAACGCTGCTTTTTTTCCCCCTAGGCAGTGAAGCAGCCAAACCTGCACCTTCTCCAACCCCAGGGGTCCCACTCTGCAGGTTGCCTGAAGGTGTCAACCACCTGGAGGATTATCAGAAAGTGGGAAGGGGCTGGCCCGGTAGTCTAGTGGTCTAGGGAGCCAGCTGCTACATAACCAACCACACGGTTTGAATCCCAGCCCGGGGTGGGAGCTTGGAAAACATACCCAGCACATATGTGTGCATGCTCCCAAATCCTGACAGGATAGGGAACTGGAAGAGAAGGGATTGAGGCATGGCCATGCCCCCTGAGGGGTGATTTCTCCTTCTCTCTCTGGCAAGCATGCATGCCCTCTGATAATTTAAAAAAAAGAAAAAAGTGAGAGCCAGCAAGTAGCATACACTGGATTCCCACAGAGCCGACTGTGGTTCGAGTCCTGGACTCGGTGCTTGAAGCTCACACTGGGTACGTGGGCATGCATGCTCAAGGTCCCAGGAGGAGAATGAAGAAAAAATTGCAGCGTGGCCACCACCACCCCCCTGGGGAGGGTCATAACTCACTTTTCCTCTTACTGGGAAGGAGAAAATAAATAAATAAAAAGTTGCGGGGCCAGCAGTTGGTATAATGACATAGTCATTATATGTCACTGAACTCCTATGTAGTTGACTGCAGTTCAAGTCCCGGACCCAGTGGCTTAAACTCACGCAGGGTACATGCGTGTGCGTGCCCAAGATCCTGAGAAGAGAATGGAGGAGAAGGGATTGCAGTGTGGCCAACCCCCCCTGGGGGGTGATCTCTCCCTTTCTTGAATCCCAGCCCGGGGTGGGGGCTTGGAAAACACACCCAGCAGGGGCTTGGGGAAAACACTGTCTCTCTGTCTCTGTCTGTCTTTCTGGCGAGCGCACATGCCCTATAGCAAAAACCTCTGCAAAAAAAAATAATTTTTTTTTTAATTGGATAAAGAGGCTCATTTGTTCCTGCTTCCCTGGGCTAGGTTGGTGCTGGTTCTCTGGGTAATCCGAGAGCTCTCCAGGAGGAGGGAGTCAGGGAATCCACTTTCTTACCTTTGCATCCTTGACATCCTGTGAAGCTCCATGTCATCGCTACCCCGGAATCCTTTGGCAAAGGGATTATTCTCTATCTTTAACTGTGTGATCTGAAAGCAGGAGAGAGAGCTGATTTTCACTTGATTGCTACAAAATGACCTCAGGGCATGAGCTAATAATAAGTGTCATGAACACGCAGCCCCTGGAAACCAAAAAAAAAAGCAAATTAAGCCAGTCACATCAACGGGGACACCCCCCTCACCTCATTTGATCAGAGGCTTTGAAAACTGTCCGACATCAGATTGTTTTCAAAAGGGGGGGAAAAAAAAACCCTGGATTTGGTTTGCCCATTCATTGAAGTCATACTTGGTATCACGCCAACTGGGTTATTTGTTTTTGTTTTTGTTTTTTTTTGAAGTCTCGCTTTTTTGTGTTTCAAATACAATCTAGACCTCAATGCTTGGGCCCCCTTCCCCTTTGGGAAGTGCTACATGTTGACGTGGTTCGCAATCCGCAGTGCGATGTGGTCTTTACTTGGAAGGCTTTGTGTCGTCATGCGTTTCTAGAGTAAACACCTCTTGATAGTGATTTGCAAAACCTTACTCTGTCTCCACCCACATTTAATTCATAGTTTCACAGACAGAGTTTGCTAGCTCAGGTGAAAAATGGTGCCTAATAAAACAGACACCAACAGGGACCGGCAGATGGCGTAATGGTTCCGTCGCTGGACTCCCCACATGGCCCACCATGGTTCGAGATTCAGACTCAGAGGCTTGAAACTCACGCCGGGCGTGTGTGCGTGCATGCCCAAAATCCCAAGAAGAGAATGGAGGAGAAGGGATAGCGGCATGGCCATCCTCCCTGGGGGGTGATTTCTCGCTTCCTGTCTCTCTGTCTCACCAGTGGGCGCACGCACCCTATAGCAAAAACCTCTCTCCAAAAAAAAAAAGAAAAAAAAATAAACACCCATATGTATCATGATTATGTGTATGACAGTGATTGACACTTCTGAACCTCTTCAATTCCCTAGGCAAGATTGAGTGAGGAGCTTTATCTTGAAACTCTGTGTTGCAACGACCAAAGTATAAAAATAAAACAGGATCTTGGGACCAGCAGGTGGCATGATGGTTAAGGGCGCTAGATTCCCACATGGCCAACCACGGTTCGAGTCCTGGACTTGGTGGCTTGCTTTCTCACTTTCCCTTTCTCTCTCTCTCTGCCTCTCTCTAGTAAAATTAAAAAGTAATAATAAATAGAATTAAATAAATTAATCTTTAAAAAAAAATGAAAAAAAAAATAAAACAGGGTCTTTTTGAATATTTTGGTTCCAGGCCAGGACTTTCATTTAAGCCATCAACACGTATAATATTAGCATAAAAGGACAGTGGCAGATCCAGGTGGCAGAATGCGTCCATGTGGAGTTTGCTAGAAGTTCCTAAAACGGGAATTCGATTTTCATATGGAGAAGCATGTCCTAGACACCAGGGCAGCATCGGAAGTTCTTCTTCACAGTCATTGTCCTCTCTGTGCTTCTCTGTACACTGGTTGGCTTACTATTTTTATTTAAATCAAACCACTTTTTCTTTTCATTTATTTCACACAGGAATATTATGTCACTTACGTGTATCACAAACTCTTGGGTTGTCGGAAAAGTCATGACGCATTTTTGCATAGAAAAACACAGAAAAGGGCCAGCAGGTGGCATGGTGATTAAGGTGCTGGACTCCCCACGTGGCTGGCCACATTCCAAGTCCCAGACCTGGTAGCTTGCTTTTTCACTTTCTTTCTCTCTCTCTCTCTCTGGTGAGTGCATGTAACGTATCTCTGTCTGTCTCTGGTGCCCAATACAATAGCAAATTAAAACAATAATAATAATAATAAAATTAAATTTTTTTTTAAAAACACTGAAAAATATCATGACTTTTCTGATGACCCAATAGAATCTTTTTCTTTTTTTTCTTTTTTTTTTTTTTTTGGAGA